AAAAAAAAAAAAAAAAAAAAAAAAAAAAAAAAGATGCTGGGGAGCAAGTGCTGCTTTGGAGCAACTGCTTGCTGCAAGGTTGCCCATGGGAGGCCTGGAAACCTTCAGGATTTGGTTTTCTTAAAGCACCCAGCCATGGTCCCATCCCCTCCACTTGTGCCTGCCCATCGATGGCGAGGGGCACAGCGGCACGTTATGTCAGAGCAGTCAGATCACGAGTTTAGCCCGGTGGTGTCTGCAGCCACATTCCCTGTCCAGCCTCAGCCAGCAGTAGCTACAGCTCTTCCTATTTACGTTGCTCTTGGCATTAAGCCACCATGGGAAAGTAACATCAGCCACAGCCCTTCCACGGAGGCTTTTCTTTTTTTTTAATTTTTGGATGACTTTGCAAGAACAGCAACTGTTGACCCATCTGCTATTTCAGTAACTGCTGCACAAGAGCTCACCAGCAACTGTTCCTGCGCTGCCCACTGCCTCTCATGAGAAATGCGCGCGGTGGCTGTGTACCCCGTGAGCAAGCTTTCAACTGGAGAAGGTCCTTGTATTTGTCCATTCTTATTCCTGTCATCAAAGCACTCAAACGTCAACAAGCCCTAGTAATACCGATATGTTTAACTGCATTCTTAACTCTAGCCCTGTCACTCACGTGTAACTTCCATATGGGGAAAAAAAAAGATTGTTTATACTTATTTTCTGACTAAAGTGATCTATTTAATGCAAGCAATTTTTAGTTAACCAATTTTTTAATATTAAAAATTCCAAAATTATCATCATTCTTTTAAGTGAAAAATAAACAACAGCCCTATTTCTATTGTAATGCTTCAGGAGGCCTCTGGTTTTACTCATAGCTAGAGCGTAAACTCAACCTGCACACCTACCTGCTCTTACTGCGACTGCCTGCAGAGTGCTGAAAGAACGCCTTTTTCTGTCATCAATGGGAACATCTGAGGAAGTACAAAGATGAAAACCAGCATCAAGGATGCCTTATAAAATATTTTCCCAGATTCTTTCCTGAATTATTGACATAGAATTAATTAGATATGTGACAAGTTTGTTTTTTAAAAAACACCCACTCCACTGTGCAAGTGCTACACCAAACAGCCGAGGCAGATGAGAGCAGCAGTTACCTTTTGGAATGACTCAATTTCTGAAGCTTGTCTCCTCGGTGTTTGATGGCAGAGTTCCTGTTATGTGATAACAGAGAATGAAAAACCGCAAGAGGTATCAGACCTGCAGAAAGTGGCTGGAGCTCCAGGGCGCAGTTAGACCTGCGAGTGCCATCTAGTGACTGAAGATATTTTATTCACATGCAGGGATACGCCTGACAGCAACACCAGGTATTTAATACCAGATCTCAGCTTTTTATGTAACATTACTGTATTTTGATGGATATTTTTTACATTCAAATGCTCCATATTCTAACCGATGACTTTGCTCTGCTCACAGTCCTCAGGGCGTTACACACCTCTTGACTGTTGCTGCATTTTCTGCTAGCTGAACACTGCAAACATGACGGCACTCCTACCTGAGTCAGTTCTGTATCATGAACAAAAAAATCCATATATTTTGCAAATTCCATATTTTTAAATGAACAGCATTAAACCCCAGATTTTATTTTAAATTCAAGGGAGTTTTAAATGGAGAAATAAATAAAAATCTACTAAAATACCTCCAAATAACGAACCTTTCAATTGCATAAAACATACGCAGATAAGGAACTTTCTCAGTGGTTCTACGAAAGCTTTAAAGACAACACTGAGTTCAAATTAAAAACACATTCAGACCACCACCTACAAATGTCATTGTACTAGGATACTTAAAAAAGCCTAAACCCCAAATCTCTCTGAAAATAAAACCATGCCACAAAGCCTTTAAGAGCAATTTTTATTAGGGCAGCAGAATGGAATTGCAGAAAGCCTACACCAGTACGCCTGGGTGTAGCTTCACCAGTATGTTGTTTTTATTTTGGATATTAAACTGCAGGGTTAGATTTCAGCATGGCTTAAGGAACCAGAGAGAACAAGAGCTTGATTTCCTGAGTTCACATAGGACTTCGTACTTTGATTTTTTTTCTCCTCAGACTTCAGCCACACAGTACAGTACTTGATGTCTTCTTTCAGAGGGCTGCCTACAAACAAAAGCCATCACGAAGGTTACACATCTCACAGTTTAGAAATTGAACTATGAAGAACAAACCAAGAGAACTGATAGCAGTATCTGTCTTCTATGGGACCTGTGCAAATGGGATCAAAAAAAAGGCCTGTGTGGATCGACCGGAGTTCCTTGAATTACACAGCCCTTCCCGTTCCCTTTCGATGGCATCCAAGTCACACTGACTCAAAGAAATGCAGTCTTTGACCTGAGAGGCTTACAACCAGAACGTGTACTATTGAGTAGTGACAGGGGCAGCAAACCAGTGCTACAGTTCTGTTTAAATAAAATTTAGAGAATGGCAAGTTTCCATGCCAACAGACATGAGAAGGTACAGCGACTCATGTGATGCAGAAGTTACACACACTTCAGTTTGACAGATAATTTGGCATTATTTTATTATGAATCTGAGTGAGAGTGAATGAAACAAAATCAGTACCAACTTTCTGCAAATGAAGACACAAAGATGTGAAAATTTGGTAATAGACAGTGCTCTCACAAGCCTGAAAACACTTAGGAAATGCAAGTTTCTGTAAATAAGGTGAGTGTGGTTTATTTGCCTGCCAAAGAATCTGTCTAAGAACACTTAAACATAAAATTTCTTAGCTCCCTAACTTATAAAAAAATTTACTTTCAACAGAGGTGAGGTCCTGGGCTGTCATTGTTTACACTAAATGGGAAATGAAAGCTGGGTGAAGAGAGATGAATTAAGAAATAGCAAATATACAAGACATTAAAACCAAGAGACCTACTGCTTGACACACTAGTTCTGAAAGGTTGCAAAGGCAGAGGCTGTACTAAAACTGAATTTACAAGTACAGACAACCACCTGGGTGTGAGCAATTTTCTAATTTGACTTCCTGCACATCAAAATGATATGTACTCCCCGATGCCTATGGATTTCTGGAGAGAAATTTGTTTGCTCAATAACATACTCAGGTTCAACAGGCGGGGAAGAGATGGCAGCTTGATTGTATGGCAGTTTGACTGTGGAGCTATGATCACACTTCTGACTGGGGAAAGAGACAGGCAGTGGGGAGAAAAGCAACAGAAGCACAGTAAAGGATGCTCAGTTCTGAACAGAAAGGGCTTCCTTCAGCATGCATAGGTGTGCCCTGGAGCAACGGGAAAACAGCACTGCCCGATTAGGTTAGAATAGCAGAATGATACTTGCAGTACTCATTAAATCATCTAGCCGGTGCATTTTTAAAACATAGGAACAGCAGTAGTGAAGCATACTCTGTGAGAGGTTATTGCTTAATCCTATTCTCACACCATTTTCAGGAAGAACTACAGCAATTGGGCTGGGAAGTGGCATGAGTGCCATCCCATAACACACGTTTCTTATGCGTGCCGATGGAAAAATGTTCCAAGATGACTAGCAGTGCTGTCAGATTTAGTCCTCGAATTCAAAATTAACATTTCCAAAATACTGATTTTTAACTCAAAACCTGTTTGTCACTTTGGTACCTCTTGGTCCCCAATTTCTGAAACTCTTCTAAACTGGTGGCAATGTTGTTCTGTGCATGTTTTCCTAGCTACTCTGCATAGGTATTAAGAATAGAAGTGACAGAGGTTTGTAATCACATTCCACTACTCGTTTGCTACAGAATTTTTTTCCCAAAGTTTTCCAAAAGCAGGACATAAGCCATATTTTAATTCAATCACGCACACAAAAATTTGGGTTTCCCCGTTTAATAAACATTTTGTTAACATCAGCCAGATTTACATCAGACCTGAACATTATTTCTGATTGTTTTTGTGGGGTTTGTTTGTTTTTGTTTATTATGTTACAAACTGAAGTTAAGGGGAACTTGGAACAAGTCCCACAAAGCACAGTGCAACATTTAAAAAGAAAAGTAAACAAAACTGCCAAACACTCAATCGTTTTCTGCCAGAACTGGGATATTTTTTCTAAGCATCAGTTTGGGGAGGAGGATAAAATTCCATGAAGAATTAAATGAACTCAAGATGGTGGGAACTGCAAGGAAAAATAAGAAATGACAGCCACAACCTTTTCAATTTAAGGGCAGAATATAAGTCTAAGATATTTTTGATAAATTCTGACAAGAAAAAGAAAACAGCATACTTTAAAGTATATTGAAGCAGTGATTTTTAAACAAAGAAAGCAGAACTAGAACATCTTAATTTTTAATCCTTTCTTTACAGGTTACCTAGCCCACTTTTGATTAAGAAAACTGTAGAAAGTTAGTAACAGCCACAAGTTAACACCGAAAGGTGGCACTTGTCAATTTTCCATAGAGTCCTGCTTTACGGGGTGTCTCAAATGCACTGCTCCGATCTTCTATCATACGTTGCTGACATCAATTGTGTCAGATTTTAGTCCACTGGTCGCTTTTCACCATATTTCTTTGTAAACTCTTCAGCGTTCTTACAGAATTTTTTACGGTCCTTAGAGTATTCTTCAGCTAGGTCAGCCCGAAGGGGATGCTCGGGCTGTGGATCATTCACCAGTGCTATGAGGGACTGGATTACTGTCAAAAGAAGTATAAATACCGTCAGAGACTAAGATAGTTAACTTAAAAATCAAAACATAAGCAAAATTCCCCAGTAAGAAAAGAGCTTTAACTGCATTTAAATACATCCCCATAAATCTAGGGTCTTTTCAAAAGCAGAGCATGAATAATCTATAGCAATATGCCAAGATTTAGTTCAATGACCGTGAATGAACAGCAGAAAATCGTACTTGTAAACAAAATCAACTTGAACAGAGACCAAAACGCACTACAAATTATTTCCCATGTAAGTGGCATCCTATCTGAAATACTCTCCTATGGCTAAGAGAGAAACCAAGTTTCACACAGAAGTTAATCTAAAAGAGATTGGGTAAAGATGGGATTTCCGTCATGAAACATCTCCTAACACCTGTCACATGATGCAGTTGTAACTGGGCTTGCTTTTGGAAACCATCATCAGCTTTATTTTTCTGTGACTCTTACTTCCCCTATAAGCAGCAGACAATTCTTCCCTTTATTCTAACCTGCCAAATACATCCACTAGTAGAGCTGCACTGTGCAAACAAATGGATAAGAACTGCAAGATGCTTTTCACCCTAGTGCTTACAGCCATTGCATCAACATTCCTCCATCACTGTCAAAGGAAATGTCATTCTTAAAATAACTGAACTGTACTCGGTGTTTACGCAGCGAACCTGGCACACTGCAATGGCATTTACTGCTACATTTTCCTCACATACGTTCTCACCACCATGTAAAGCTAGACTGGTTACAGCCATCAGTTCTCATATCCACCCCCTAAGAGCTATACGGGTTAACTGCGCCACTCTACAGGAAGCGGGTACACAGAAAAAGCATTTCACTGTACAATCATATTGATAATATTCTGTTTGAGGGAAGTTTGGGCTACCCAGAGTAATACAAAGCAGCACCCCAAGAGTTTGTAAACCAAGTATAACAAAACTTAACCTCACTAGAGCCAGCTGTCTCCTCCTGAACTCCCACAAAACCTGACACCTACACCCCCAGTGGCAGGCAGCTCCACAACTCCGCTCCACACTGTGGGAGAAGTCAAGAGTTTGTAGTTTGCTCGGAAACGGCTACATAGCAGTTCTCCCTGGCTTTGGGATGTGGAATTCTTAACAATACTTTTCATTCCAGTACATGCTAGAATAGGAGAGTGGCTTCTTTCATCAATCTTTTCATGTTCATTCTTTTCCACCCCTACCTGACAGGAATGGGGAACATACCTCAAAACAAATAGTCAAAAATCCAGAGAAATATGGTTGTCGCTATATTACCACAAATCAGAGTTTAAACTGAACAAGGAATGTAGGATTGATATTGGCTCACTTCACAGGAACTCGCCAGTCCTGGACTTCTGACAACTGTCATCACATTAATGACTGCTTACGAAAATGTCAATGCCACCTGTGACAATCCCTTTTCACTCAGTAAAACAAACTAGAACACTACAGAAAAAGTGTTATGGTCTTAAGGTTATTTAACACACAAGCCAGAAAAAAACAGGATTGTCATAACAGGAGTTGCCTCAATATCCACAGCATTTTAAAACTATGCTGTCACAACAGTCTGTGTTAATATTAAGCATAAATTAATAAATAGTACAGCACTAAGATGCAACTTTAGTACATGAAAGGTGAGTTAAAGATTTATGATAAACCTAATCTCTCTACTTTCTTGACACCTGACTGATCAAAACCAATCACTCTGATGCTGTAGTACTGTCGCATTGTTTCCTTGAGAAAGGCCTAAGCAGCAAACAGACAAAAGTTTATTTTTCAGTGCAGAAGAGTGCTGGAGGAAAAGGAATAGACACTTAAGCAGGGCTGTAATTGTATTGTTGCAGGTTTATACGATGATGTAGTAATAACGGATGTTGACACTAAAACAACTTCTTGAAGGAAGAGGAAAAAAAGACAAACAAAAGACCACAAAACAGCAGAAACTGAGACCTGCAATATTTGGTACAGAGGGTTTGTTCCAAATTCTGATCTGAGCACAGTTTTTAGTCCCTCTCCCAGATAAAAAGGGAATTGCTGCTTCTCAGGAAGACACTGACTATCTCCTGCATGGAAACGATTGCTCCAATAACTCCAACTAATGCCAACTTGCATTTCAAGCTGGGTAGAGACAATGCGTTGTTCCTTTATTTAGCTAGAGAAGGCTCGTAAGATTAAGACAACTGCTAAGGTGTTAAAAGAAAACTTCTGCACATTGCTTCCATTTCTCCTCTCCCAGGGATCTTTGTCCTGTACAATCTGAGATAAATCAACAAAAAATCCTAAGATTTTCACTGATTTAAGTTTCTTCTTGCTGACACTTCCACTTTCCCTGACATTCAACTACGTGATCTTTTCTGAAACAACCACAAGAATTTTCCTGTTTTGTCTTTGGGGCAAAATCATGCAAACTGAACTGCAAGTAGTTTGACTAGCACACAGAAACACACGGAAAACAGAAACCTTAAGTACAGCATTGTTTACTATCAGGAACACAGTTAAACATAAACAACCTTAAAGAGGAGTCTGGAAGAAGGAAATACTTTCTCCTACAGCGCAAGACACTTCAGTGTCACTGAAGCGCTTACAGTGGACTAAACTGCTGCTCATTTGAATTCATATTAAAAAAAAATGCAGTTTTTGCAAGAATGCTTGCTCTTTCTATATGTACAGTAATAAATGCTTAACATCAAACTAACCGTTACCTGCTAGAAAACATGAAATTCTCACCCCAGCAACTCATGGAAGCAACAACAGAAAAAACCTACTCAGATCACACGCTCAGTCTACTGCAGAACCTGATGAAACTTTTCTCCTTATTTAAATTCTTATCCAAAGACACTCTACACAGTAAGCCTCACGGCAGTGATCTTTGAAGAACAAATTAATTTGTGGTAGGAGTTCAGGTTTTGTTTATGACTCCTAGATATTTCAAACTCTATGTTCAAATCACTGAGCTACATGGCAGAGAGTATAAAATACACAAAGCCTTGAGGTTTTAGACCCTTTCTTTCAAAAATCCATGAATGTACTGAACACCTCTGGATTATAAAGCCACTGTTTAAAAAGAAACACAAAATAACCCCCACACAAACTACCACCAGAATTTAAGTATGCCAAGGACACTACCTTAATAAGCTCGTCAGTCATGAGGAGGTTAGTGGTTTCCTGGAGGTGGACGTGCCACACATCATGGTCATTACCTTACAGTCCAGTAACAAAATGAGATTCCACAAGAGCTGCACACTGTGCTCACAACATGTGACTCATGATACAAACCTTACGACAATGAACATACCGTAAGAGCAGTGACCAGCTGACAAGCTGAAACACTATTAGCTTTGAATTTAAACACAATGCAAAGTTTCTCGATCTCCAGTTCTTTCTCCACATGCAGTCCTACCTTGGTCAGTTTTAGTTGCTGGCTTCCAGTTTTCAGCACTAATTACTGGCAGACACACCTGCCCCTTTTCATCGATGTTAGGGTGATAGATCTTTGTTTTAAATGTAATCTTAGGAGGTTTGAATGGATATTCTGCTGGGAAGTTGATTTCGATTCTGAAGGCTCCTTTATCATATGGAGGATTGTCCTGCAACAAGAAGGCAGAATGTCAAGAATCTGGCATGTTCTAGCGGATACAATTAAGAAAACCATGCTCCAGACTTCGTTCTATCGAATGACCTTTGTTAAAGGCACTTTCTTCCAACACGTACTGCCATGTCTATGTGTCAGGAAGCATCAAAACCTACTGAGTAACAGAGAGGTGATACAACCTCTACAACATCTGTATTCACCCTGGAAAAAGCACATTAACATTGTTCTGAAGTTGGCTGACATTTCTACTGGTAAGAAAGAATCCAATCACATTTACTCCAATCTCAAGGTCCCATCTAATAAATTGTTTTATTCCCAACTCTGTATTTCAAAAAACATTGTAAACACTTTCCGAGATACAAACAGGAAGCCTGACAAGGAAAATGGGTTTCCTAAACATAGTTATTTTATGTGTCTCACAGCACGGTGGTATGAACAGCAAAGCAATTTGATTTGTCAGATTTTCTATACGTTCCGAGAACATTTTTGTGCTGACTACACAAAAATCTGCTAAGCATTCATTGGTACTAAAGATAGATATTCACTGCTTCTGCTGATGAGAACATTCTGAATTTGTATGCAGTTTTAGCAGCTGCTCTCATCAGATCATTTTTGAAGGAACACGATGAGAGAGAACCATGGAGTAAGTAAAGTCATGCTGAAACAGAAAAAACAATGCCCAAAAATCTCATGTAGAAAACCTGTTAGACTGCTGCTTCAAATACTAGCAGAAGAAAGGCAGGAAAAAAAATTGCTACGTTTAAAGCTTATAAAAATACCACTCTGCACTGAAAACAGTAACGATGGCACAAAGCCTTTCCAAACACTCTGGGAACAAGAATCAAAGGATGAGAGTTTCCAGTTGGTGTGAAGTATAATCACATACATTCTTCATTAGCAACCAAATAATTCCTTGCAATCAAAGCCACTCCAGAAGTTAAAAAAGGTTTACTGATATTTGGAGGTGGGGAGTGCTCTATTAAAATATTACTCAAGAGAAAACATTTAATTTTAGTTTCCTCCACATGAAGAAGTCTGGTTGCACATTTCTAAGAAACAGAGCGTTATTTGTGCAGTCAAGGGAAGAGGTAACTAGAGTGGCTTTAAAAATCACTTTTTATCCAAGCAATCCTACAAGCCTTAGAAGTTTAACAAATAACTTTTTGGTGGTGCTGACAACTTCAGCAGTTAGTGCCCTCTTCCCCCATGGCTCACTGTTACCTCCATCACATGCTGTAATGTGCGAGGCTGGTCAGGGAACTGATACAGGCACTGACCTGGCTTAAAAACATCCATTTTCCCCTTGACTCTCAGTCAGAACAGTTCTTCACTATAACTCACCAATAAATTGAACCAAAAACGTATGTAAAGGGTTGCTCATGTTTTAAAGAGATAAAATACTGAATATTCAAGCAATTAATTTCCAATAACTTGTTATATTTATTTTGACATTGACATGAAAGAATCGGAATTATAAACACTAAACGCAAATGACAAACTTGACTCACATTCACCTGGAGTATTGTTGTTCTGCAGAAGTTTGTCCATAGCAAGCAGTTTGATAAAGTGAAATAAAATTCATGCTACAACAACAGTACCTCTTACAAGAGCAAGGAGCCTGGGGTACGCAGTCTTGTTTCGATGTTGAAATCAAACAAGTAGCTTGACTGTCCAACATACAGTACATGAACTACCCTACTCTACAATTTAGAACAGGAAGTTGACAAGCTATCTTCAATCTGCTTCTCAATTGAGCAAACACCCTTAAAAACTAACAGTTGCTCTGAGGAGCAAAATACGTTACACACAACAAAAACTTGCAAAGCAGTATCTTTCACAGTAATTCTGTATGAACACCATTAAAATTATTAACCTTTGTATCTTTCACACCTTCATTATGAAGTTGACTGAAGTAATACCTAGTTATAGGGTTTAATAATCAGTAACTGGTTAGTCCTACTAAAGTAGGAGTAATATGTCTTTAAACCCTAAGCATGAACATTTTCTAAAATGGAAACAGCATATAAAACTTGAAAAATAAAAACTCAGCAAAAAAATTGAACTTGCAACCAGCTTGTAGATTACATTTTTAAACCATCAACTCCAGCATCACAATAGCTAAAGAAACTATGCTCAGACTAAAACATCTTCTGCAGTGTGTCCTCAAAATAATAAACTATTCTACTCTTTGAACATGTGCAACACAATATTATGTTAATCACTAGAGAAATATAATTTCATGACAAAATTCCCTCTGAACTACACCGGTAGTGAACTTAAGGCTATTTCCCTGTAACAGGCACATTATTTGACTAATACAGTGGTTATCCACTTCTATGAAACTTTCTCTTAAAAGTGCTTTAAGAAAATAAAAGTGGGTTTTGTTTTGTTTTTTTGTCATTAATAAATGCCTAAATAGAGACTTTATTTAAAGAGCTCACTTCTGAAAATCCAAACCTTTTCCTTGCATCAAACTTTTTCCAACACTCACTTTTATCCTAGAAATAAATCTAGTAAATTAAAAAAAACCCATTAAGGGGTAAACAAAATATTTAATACCTCATTTTTTCTCCCATGATGATGCAGATTTTGTACTTTAAGCATCATCTAATAAACTAGAAACTTCATTTGCTTCCCCCTTCCAACACCTCTCCCAGTACCCCAGTGCCATCACGGAGCCCGCAGCCCTCGCCAGCTGCAGCCATGCGCTGGACTAGGCCTACAGCTGTGAAGCATCCAGGCAGGTATTGATCAGAGAAGTCTAGAACACCTTTCAATTCCGTACAGATTATTCTTCACACTAAAGAAACACGTACTACCACTTACCAGACTTCAAACACAGAAGACACTCAAATAAAACAAGACAGGAAGATTGCACTATTTGTCCAAGATGTCTGAAGAGAGACAAGAATTAAATCCAGGAGCACACTTTGCTGCCCAGAATGTGCTGAAGACACTGCAGTACAATCTATATGAACTTCTGTTGTATTTATAAACAACTAGCTTCTGCACAAGTCCACAACTCTGAAAGCCAGGTTTTATAAAAACAAGAGATTCTTGTCAGGGTGCAAAAATTATCTAATGGTCACCAGCAGCATTACTGAACTGGGGATTTATGAGATACAAGTGATCCTCATTTTATTGTAAAGCTCATTAGAACAAGGAGTAGTCTATACTCACAGGAACAATAAGCCCTTGCCAGGTCAATAAATTAGCTTCATCAACCTGGATATTACGGAAGTTTTTCATTCCACATTTGCGGATTTCTTCAAGCTCCTGAAAAGCAAGCAAAGTGTAAGGGTAAGTTAATAGCAGTATTAAGCAAGATGCTCATATTTATTTTTCAAAGTGCTTAGAGGTCAACATGGGTTGCTTTAATGTTAAAGAAGCTCGAGGTTTTAGCAGTGGCAACCTGCACAAATACAAAAGAAAATTTTCTACCTGTGAGAAGTAAAAATCTCCGAGACAAAGTATAAAAGAAATGTTATTTTTTGAAATGTCAGGAAAATACAAAAATGCCTTGTTATTAACATCACTACAGACACAGTGAAGTTTTTAAAAGTGCATTTTAAAATGTTTTTACATCTCAAAAGCAAATCAGCACCTTTGGTAACAGACTAAATGATAACTCTGTGAAGCACAGAAATAAAGTGCATCTTAGGACTTGTGTGAAGGAAAACAGTGATTTTACAGAATTATTTTGTAAATGTTTTACATTTACAAAATGAACAGGCCAATTATTTCAACTGAAAACTAACAAATTCCTGCATGATCAACTTAAACTGATGCTCACTCAGAAAAATATCAAAGCCAAGCTGGCCTTCTTTAGAGCAATGACTCGAGAAGATACAGCTTTATCTCTGTTTTGTACCTCAAAAGTCAACAGTATATATTCAGACAGCTCTCTCTACAGCTGTGTCACTCTTCGACAAGGCATCTTTGTGCACCAGTCAAACCATTTTTGATTACTGATCCAGGTACCACCAAACCAAGTATTCAGGCATTTTTGTATTTAGAATTATGTATAAGCCCTAGCACAGCAACTGTTTCCTGCAGCATTTCACCAGACCTAAAAAGAAACACCTCAAGGTTACACTTTTTTATTCCCCGCAAACAATTACAGCCCTTTGCTGTTGAATTCAGTTTTATCTTTAAAGAGAATTTAACTGAATTCAGATTCAAAAGTCACCCACGGTGAAATAGAAAACTTTCCCAGTGCTTTCAGAACTGAAGCACACACACATAGGTGAGGAAGAACGCTGCTTATACAGCAACACCGGCGCACTCTGCCAGCACAGCCCATCACTGGGTGCTGGCGTACCTGCAAAACTCGGCTGCATATTATGATGATAAAAACACCAACTACAACCAAAGGCACTACACACTGAAAAACAAAAAAGATCAGTTCTCCCAGCACAAGTGCTGTACTGTCCATGGTTTTTTTCTAAACCAGCTCTATGTTCATCTTGGATCAAGCCTCTCTGCATCTGACCGGCAGAGATTTAATAAGTGCAGTAATCTCTTGCATAAACTTAGCATCATGATAAAATGCAAACCCAAAGGTTTCCAAAGATTTCCAACCACCCAAGATTTCCAAATCCACAAGAAACAAAAATCATGTGGCAGCCACACATCAGCAGATGAACATTCACATTCCCACCCACTGCACCTACGAAAGCAAGAGAACACTTGAAACACAAAAGTTTAACCTTGGAGTCTTGGATATTAAATCAATGCCCAACACAATCTTCACAACACTAAACCTGACTATTCAGTCTAGACCTGTGGATTAATCCCCAAATTCCACCGCTGCTAGATTTATGCAATATCACACACAGTTTGGGCTTTAAAAAAAAAATTCCTATTTTTAAATAGGATTATCCTATTTCCTTAAAGCAGGAAAACCTACAAAAACCACACAAAAAAAATCTCATGAAGCACATTTACAAGGACACAGAGCAAACCAAAATAGTAAAAAAAAAAAACAACACCTTTATTATTGCAGCTATAAGAGATCCCTTATGACCACTGAACCTGCAAATCCGCGCAGCACCTTACAGGTGGCTTTGAGTGCTCAGCGCACCCGGCAGCAGCTCAGGGAGGCTGGCTGACACCAGACTGACTCTTCCCTGATGCGCTCAGAGTAACTCACCCAGAGCAGTGTTTTGGGCGGCTCACTTCTACACGTACAGAATGGTGAAGTCCTGGCAAACCACCAGGTTTTTCACATCCACAGCAAGTAAAAAGGGATAAATCCCATTCCCCACTAGATGTAACAAATCAAACATTGGGAACAAAATCAGGTAATTAACCAGTGGGTATCTGAGCATGAATAAACACGCACCACAAGTGCCTTCAGTCTAAAACAAGGGAAGGAAAATAGGTTTAGACAGTTTTCTATTTACTATACTAAAAACATACATATGACAGAAATCTCCCCCATAAGGTCCCAGTGGGAGTGCAGCTTCCATGCAGCAGCTCCCATCCCAGGTTCAGATGACAGCATGACACTGCTCTGGCCAGAGAGGGAGAACTATGGTGCTGTAATTCAGGAATGTTACTAAGCTAATAAATATGAAAAGCACAGCTTCACATGACTGGAAAACTAAACACCTACATTTTATAATTAGATCCAGGTTAAAAAATTGGATGCTGAATGAAGACATGCAAGAGATCATTACAAAATTGTAAAACTTTGTAGGAAAGCAAAGCAAAGTTTAAAACAAATATGAAATTGCTCCCCATTTTCCCCTCAAGTCCACCACATGAGAGAGGGAACTAAACACTCTAGAAAGAACTAGCCAAAAATTATTCACAACATCCTCCTTTTTAACCTGCCACGTGAGGCCTTTGCAGGAATTCACTTTCAAAATAAAGAAAGTGGTAAATCACTACAGCGCATCAGGACTACATCCTGTGCTGCTCCTTCGCTGCCTTGGGTCCTGCGATTGTAGCTGACAACAGAAAAAGGGGACAGATGGGTGTAAACCGGGCAATTCTTTTCCTCGCACACAGGCAGGACAGCAAAGGTCATGGAGAATCAAGCTTACCTTAGCAGAGGACTTGCCTGAACTATGTGCTTAAGACAGGCTCCAATTTATAACAGAAATTACTTGTCTTATACTGGAAGTGTTTAAGATTTCATACGCCATTCCAAATTAATCAATTCCATGTTACTCACAGATAGCTTTGCTCTCATACTGCTGTCCCCACAAATACAACCTAATCCTACACTCGCAAGTCATTCTTTGAGGGTTTTTGTGACTAGTGCATCAGGAGTGGCAAGAGATGCAGCATTCCCAATTGAAGGGTGTGAGGAGGGGTTGTTTTGTTTTTTTTCCTGGCAACTGCCAAAATGCATAATAAAGATCTAACTGCCTCAGAGCCACAGAGGCAGACACAACTACAGTATAAACGTACTGCTAAAAAAGTAAATGAGCTACTGAACACTTCCAAACAGCACAGATTAAAAGTTAATACTGCATTTAAAATGGGCTTGAGCAACTCCAGAGGGACAAAAATTACTTTATGAGGTAAAAGGATATAGTCCAGATATTTATTTCAAAATAATACTTAAAGAGTCTAGGCAGACAGCAAATAAATTAATTCCTTTTCTTGTCCTTCACCCCTTAATTTTGTCAAGTACCATAATTAAAGGAGCACAGGAGGAGTGTAACAAAAGGTTAGAAGACTGCAGTAAGGATTTCAATCAGTCTTCGTTCTCCACTCTGTTATCAACCTTGCCTGTGACCTTGCTGCATTGGTTTCCCCGTTTGTAAAACAGAAATGTCTTATTTCAGGGGGCTCTCTCGAGTCGTGATGTTTGTAGTTTGGATATGTTCAGAGAAAGTGTTAGTCACAGCACATGAAATGGAGAAAACTCTGTTTCAGAGGTAGTATCTGATCTTCAAGTATAATGCTGATGGCAGTCATAAAAGTACATACCACCTCTCATATATAATCAATAAAGATTTACAATTTTTATTTTTAATATTGTGCAAACACTTGTGCTGTTCAAACCAAAAATTAAATGTTTGAAATTAAAGAGAAAAGTGGCATCAGTTTAAAATGCAGTTAAGTCTTTTAAAACCCTGGAACTGCAACTGTTCTGCCCACGCATCTTTCAAGTTCTGGGACTTTTCTAAAAAATCACACCAGGTAGGGAAATGCAGTGAACACAAACACTTGTAAGGGTGCAATCCAAGGAAATGGGAATAAGCGCAAGAGGTCATCCTGACTTCAGGAAGTTCTGCATAAAGCCCAAAATGCTATTTAATGCACAAAGATAAACAAAATTCATATGATTTCTATGAAAGGTCTACTGAAAGAACTCTAAACCATGATTCTCTGCTGTTTACAATTTATGTTTACCTATTTGTAAATACATTCCCTAAAAGAAGTGTAACAAAGTTAAACATGCTCCAAAACACTGATAAGGAACTGGCCGGTCTTACTTTCTGAATCTTCTATACAGAACAGAGAAGTGTTAAAATACTTAAAATATATTTACAAAAAAAAAATCCACAAAACCAACCAAAACCCCAAACAGATTCTAGCTCTTGTAAGAATTACTATTAAGTTTCCTCTGCAACACTACAACCCTGTATACTCACATGTGTTTTATTTACCGAGTAATTCTACTTTTTGGCAAAGTATTTTCATTTGATTAAAAATCTTTTGTTAATTCTCAGTTTCAAAAAGGGAAAATGAACCAGTATTCTCATTCTGCATAAGGACAAACACATATTGCTCAAAGCCACATTTCCCTTGCTACTGATAAGCGGTGTTTGGATCCATTTAGAATTGTATTTCAAATATAAAAGTGGTTAAAAAGCCCTTTATTTGGAAGGGCTATGGTGTTTACAAGACCACAGCACACTGGAGATGACAGGCCACCTACAGCAGGTACCTGGGTGTGGCCTTGGGTCTGTATTTTATCATGGAGTTCAACAGTTGCATAAATGTTTGACTATGCAATTATGGAAACAGAGTAAAAACAGTAAGATTAAAATAATTGCCTGTGTACCTCACTTCACATGTCAAGTGTTATTTACTCTTTAAATCTATTTTCATGTTTTAATACTAAAGATACTTTTGAATATCTAAAACCTGGGAAACAAAAGCGCGGATCTCACAGACACCTCAGCTCGATCACATGCAGACCAGCACAGCAGGGAGCAGCTCCACACAGGGGACAGGACAGGCTCCTCAAATACTGCCTAAAACCGCCCACTGGAGGGGCATCCACACGTTACTACACCACCAAGCGAGTA